GGGGCGAGGGGCAGGCGTGCGTCCGCGAGAGCGAGGTCTACGCCGCAGGCGCCAAGAAACGCGTTCAGAACCTCCGCCGCAAGTTCCGCGAGACGCTCAACGACCAGGACAAGGCAGCCTTCGAGTCGGAGGAGTCCAAGTATACTTCTCAGAGCACCCCGACCACAACGCGCAAGTGGAGCAGGCCAGCTCGAGCGCATGGGGGCACGTGCAGGATTGCCCCCATCAACATCTCCGCTGCCGAGAATTGATTCGATTCGAGCAGGGGCCCGAAGTCCGCATTGGAGCGCAGCGTGCCCCTTGCCCCCTGCGCAAGGCACTGCCGGGTCAGCGACGTGAGCCTCGAGGGGCGCACCTGGCGGCGCGACGCCGCCTGCGATCGGGGCGAGGGCGAGGCGGGGCGCTTCCGAGCAGGCGAGCCCCTGGGGGCACTGCTCACGGGCTGGCGCAAGGCTCTGCTCGAGTTCTGCGAGGCGGACCGCGCGAGGGTCTTCGAGGCCATCGACGCGCGGGGGCCGGCGATGGCCTGGGCGGACGAGGTGGTGGCAAGCTGCGCCGTCGACTTCATCGAGCAGGAGCGCGGCCAGAGCCTCGTGTTCGCAGGCTGCCTCTCGAGCCAGTGGACCGAGGCAGTGGCTCTCCGAGCATGGCTCGAGAATGTCATCGACGCGCCCACGGCCCCCGACGTGGTGAGATTCTTGCAGGGGCCCGACGCCCGCGAGCGCAGCCAGTTCAAGGCCAGGATCCGAGAGGTCTGAGCCGAGATGCTTTGGGCCACGGAGCAAGACTGGATCCAGAGGGCCAAGGGCGAGCCCCAGAAGCAGTGCAAGTCCCCGACACAATGGGGGCCCTACGAGTGCCTTTAAAATTTACTGCGCCCCCGAGGAACGCACCCGCTTCCGTGAGCAGAACAAGGGCGCGGTGCCGCTGCGGGGCGGCCAAATGTTGGCGCGGTCTGGCCGACTGGGCAAGACGGGCTCAAGATCGTCGCGGGCGTGGGGCCGTGGAGCTACTCCATCGAGCCCGTCCGCGGCGTCGCGAACAGCCCGGCGAAAGAGCGCCTCGAGGGCGCCCAGCGCTGGCCCGAGGGCGCGCTTCCAGTGCCCGAGGGGGGCGTCGTCGACGGCGGCTGCATCTCAGCGACGACTTGCCGAGGGGCTGCGAGCAGGGCGAGAACCCCTGCCTCATGGGGCTCCGAGAGCTGGACCTCGAGCTCACCGACGAGCAGAAGGGCGCGCTCGAACCGCCAGAGGAGCGGATCTAGGATATCAAGTTCCTGCGCGCCGTCGGCAACAGGATCCAGCTGAAACGGGCAGCAGTTCGCGAGAACAGGTGGGCGTCCAAGTTCGCGGGCCAGTTCTTGGCAGCGCGAGAGGGCCAAGGGCGGCGGCGAGACCTCGCTCGAGAACCTCGGCAGAGGCGCGGCCAAGGCGAAGCTCACGGGCAGGCCGCCGAAGGCGCGCGCGAGCTTCTCCAAGAAGTTCAAGCGGAAGAAGCAAGCGGAGGAGGGCGCCAAGAAACAGGACAAGGCCGAGAAGAAAAGAGGCCCCCCCCCCCTGGCACGGCGGCGTGGCGCGCGTCACCGAGGAGGTCGTCCGCGGGGGCGGGCGCGACAGAGCGCTGGGCGTCTGGCGAGTCCTGGGCGCCGAGGACGAGCGCCGCCCGCGCGTCCTCGAGGCGGGGGCCGCGGCGACTTTCCAGGTCGAGAGCGGCGAGGCGGGGAGGGCCACGGGCGGTCGTAAGCTTCTGCCTGCTTCCGGCGGGAGGGGCGGAAGCGAGCGGGGGGCGGCGGAAACAGCGGACGCGACGGCGGGCGCGGCTGAAGTTGTCGGAGCACCGGCAGAAGCAGGCGGGAGCGACGCGACGAGAAATCAGGCGGAAGCTAACGAGTGCCTGCGAATCCCGAGCGCCACGGGTCACGATCGAGCAGGACTACAAGTTCCCCGAGCCGCGCGAGCTCGACTGGCGCCAGACCAGGCAGGCTCGCCGCACCGAGCTCACCAAGGAGCACGCGAACATGAATTGCGAGCAGATCGTCTGGGCGCAGCGCACGCGCTGCTGGGCGAGATCGAGGAGCGCGCGGGCGTCCCCGAGACCGTTCTGGCGGTCGAGCCCACGGCGGCCGTCGCCTGGGCTTGAGAGGGCCAGGGCGAGGGCGCGCCCGCCGCCCAGCAGCCCGGGGAGCAGATGCGCTGGGCCGAGAGGGTCGACGAGGCCCAGCACGTGCTGGTCTGCGTGCACTCCGAGGCGCCTGCGCACTACGCGTGCCTCGAGGTCGGCGGTGTTACAATTGTCCCTTCCCCAAGGTGCTCCAGTGTTTCGCTCCGTTTTGGGGCGAATCCTGGAGGCGCCCCGGGCAGGGGGCAGTTGTGGCAATTCCCGCCGAGGTCTCGAGGGTCGGCGGGGGCGTCGCGGCCGAGTACTGCGACGCCCTCGAGCAGCCGCCCGAGAGCGCCAAGCAGGCCCAAAAGGGCCACATGCGAACCGGCACCGACAACGCCCCGCGATTTCTGAGGGGGGAGGTCGGGTTCACTTTGCTCGGGAGCTGCCGATCGAAGTGCACCCCGCCCCCCTCAGAAATCGCGGGTGGGGTCCGCGCGTGGCCTCCCAAGGCCGCCGCGAGGATCCTCTGCAAACTCGGCGCCATTGGCCCTGGCGAGACTTGCCCAGCACCGAGCAGCAAAACGTACCGAGCAGACGGTTGGAGCTGCGGCCTGTGGACGAGTCCCTTGCTCGAGCGCGCCCTGCGCGAGATCCGAGGCGAGGGCCGCCAAACGCCCGCGTCGCTGAACGCGATGTGCCTCCGCGGCAATGAGCGGATCAACGAGCTCAAGGGGGCCAGCGATTACGACTTGGCGACAGGCAAGGCCGAGGCCAATGCCAAGGCCAAACACAAGTCCAACCCCTGCGAGGGCCCCGCGGCGGCCGCGCCGAATTGCGCCACTTTCGAGGGGGCAAGCGCCGGCGCCCAGGTTTGCACCAAGTGTCTCCCATGTAAGGGCGGCTCCAAAGGATGCCGCGCATGCGTGGGGGAGTGGTTCGAGGTCCAGCGCAGGAGAGGTTTCTCGGCAAGATCGGCCGAGGACCTCTCTTGCGCTGGCATAGTGTAGGCACGAGCTTCGAGTTCTATCGAGTAAGTCTTGTGCCGAGCGCCTGCTGGCAAGTTCTGTAGCCACAGGCCTCGAGATCTCTCGAGTCAGCCTTGTGCCGAGCGCCTGCTGGCAAGAACATATCCACGAGCTTCGAGACCTTTCGAGTCAGCCTTGTGCCGCGCGCCTTCTGGCAAGTTTATAGCCGCGAGCCTCGAGATCTCTCGAGTTAGCCTTGTGCTGGGCGCCTGCTGGAATGTCGTATAGCCATGAGCCTCGAGATCTCTCTCGTGAGCCTTGTGCCGGGCGCCATGGATCACCATCATCATCGTCGTCGTCACCATCACCATCATCATCATCTTTGTCCCCGGGAAGCTCTTGTATGATCCCCGCCAGAACGCCGACCCTTAATATCCCCCCGTGATTATTTTCGCCCGCGGTCGGTTACTGATGAAACTGATGATGTGGATGATGATGCTGATTTTGAGGAGGAGCGTAATGCTGACGATGATGATGACGATGATGATGATGATGGTGATGCCGATGCTGATAATGAATCTCATTCTGTCGAAGGTAATGATGTTGGTGATTATGGTGGTGTGGATGACGATGCTGATGATGCAATTGCTGATGTTGATGATGATGATGATGCTGATGGGGATGTGGGTCATGGCGATGACGATGATGCTAAATTTGCTGAGGATGATGATTATGATGTTGATGGTACTGGTTGTGGTGATTATGATGAAAAATGAAGGTGATGCTGATGATGGCGATGTTGATGATGCTGATGCTGATGCTGATGATGCTGCGGTCGCTGATGATGATCATGGTGCTGGTAATGCGGTTGATGATGCTGATGCTGCTGCTGATGCCGATGCTGATGCTGATGATGATGGTGATGCTGACGATGTTGATGCTGCAGTTCATGATGCTGATGATGATGAGGATGCTGCTTCTGATGATGATGATGATTTTGATGATGAAACTAAATGGTGATGATGATGCTGCTGATGATGATGATGATGATGTTGAGGAGGGGGATGATGCTGGCGATGATGCTGATGCAACTGATGGTGCTGAACGGATGATTATCTGGATGCCAATGCTTATGTTGATGCCGATGCTGATGCTGATGTTGATGTTGATGATGGCGATGATGATGAGGAGGATGCTGATGCTGATTCTGATGATGATGCTGCTGGTGATGACTGATGACGCTGATGCTGATGCTGCTGCTGAAGATGCGGATGCTGATGCTGCTGCTGATGATGATGGTGGTGGTGGTGATGATGCTGATGATGATGATGATCACGATGATGATGAGATGATGATGATGATGATGATGATGATGATGATGATGATGATGATGATGAGAATGATGATGATGATGATGCTGCTGCTGCAGATGCTGCTGACGATGACGATGCTTCTGATTATGATGTTGATTATGATGATGCTGATGATGATGCTTATGATGACGATGCTGATGATGATGATGATGATGATGATGATGATGATGATGATGGTACTACTGATGCTATAGATGATGTTGATGATGATGCGGATGATGATGATCAGTGATGATGATGATGATGATGATGATGCTGATCATAATGATGATGCTTATGATGACGAGTAATGATAATAATGATGATGCTGATGATGATAATGATGGTGGTGATGATGATGATGATGGTGACGATGATGATGCTGATGATGAGGATGTTGATGATGATGCTGATGCTGGAGGCGGAGGAGGAGGAGGGAGGAGGAGGAGGAGGAGGGAGGAGGAGGAGGAGGAGGAGGAGGTGGGAGGAGGAGGAGGAGGAGGAGGAGGAGGAGGTGGAGGAGGAGGAGGCGGCGGAGGAGGTGGAGGACGAGGAGGGAGAGGGACGAAGAGCCTGTGAGGAGTCGGAGTGGGAGCGGATCGCCGACGCCACGTACGTCGGAGAGCCGCGGAAGCCGCGCGAATGCGTCCCGTTCAAGCGCGGGAGCGCCTCGGTTCTGCGCCGGGACAACGAGAGAAGGCGTCCGGCAGCGTGCGCCCTCCCTCCATCCTGATTCCGTGAGGGATGGAAGGATGGAAGGATGGGGGGGGGAAGGGGCAGGGAGATGAGTGAAGTGAGATGAGTGTGGGGGGAGTGAGGGGAGCGAGGAGGTCGGTGGAAGGAGGGAGGTAAAAGGAGCGATGAGCGATGGGTGAGGAGGACCACCTTACCATCAAGGATCCTCCTCCTTCCTCTTCCTTCCTTCTACTACCAGTTTGGTCTTCCCCCTTCTTTCTTCTCTCCCCCTCTTCCTCGTACTCCCTCTTCATCCTCTTCCTCCTCCTCCTCCTCCTCCTCCTCCTCCTCTATTATCTTCCCCTTGCCCCTCTTCCTCCGCCCTCCTCATTCATCCCATCTTCGTCATGCTCGCCCTTCAATCTCCCTATCCTCTTCTGTTCCTCGACAGGTACACAATATGAATACTACTCTCCTTTCTTCTCTCTTCCGGATATGCTGTGAGAGTAGCCACCCCCTTCTGCGCATTGCTCCCAACCATCCTCTGTGGCGCTGGATCCTCGTTTTGAAGAGACAGCGCCTTGCGTCCCCTTTCCTCTCCACCTCCCCCTCCTCCCTCCTCTCATCCTTGCCCTTTGCATGTCCCTGTATCGGCACACCCCTCACACATTTCGTTGCCCTGTTGGGAGCTCCACCGAAGGGCCCAGTGGCAGTGTTTATGTGCGTCTCCCCCACCAAGTGCAGCGGGTCGTGGCCCATATGGGGCTCCACCGAAGGCCCCAGTGCCAGAGTTTACACGTGCCCAGTACAGAGCTCCACCGAAGGCCCCAGTGGCAAAGAACCACATGCATCTCCGCCACCCAGTACAGCGTTTCGCGGCCCATGGGGAGCTCCACAGAAGCCCTCAGTGTCAGGGTCCACATGCGTTTCCTTGCCCCATTTCGGCACACGCCTCACACGCTTCGTGCTCCCGCAGCGAGCTCCACCGAAGGCACCAGTGGGAGGATCTTCATGCGTCTCCCTGCCCCTTTTCGACACCCCGCCACCATTCTGACACACCTTTCACGCGTTCCGTGGCCCCATAGGGTCCAAAGGGAGCTCCACCGAAAGCGGTAGCCACAACGCACTGTTCACGACTGCGTATGCTTGGGTCTTGTGCCAGTATTTTTGTTACACATGTTTTGCGCGGGCGAGCTTTGCTGACCCGTTTTCCCGATTCGATCCGTCGGCGTCTTGTTTTACGCACAGGATCCGTGCGAATTGGCTTTTCACACTGTTCCAAACCATCCTGTGGCGTTGGGTCTTCGTTTTGAAGAGAGAGCGCCCCGCGTTCCTTCCTCCTCCTTCTCGCCCTCCTCATATCATCCCTTGCCTCTGCCGTCCGCATGTACATGTCGGCACACCCCTCACACGTGTCGTGGCCCCATAGGGAGCTCTTCCGAAGGCCCCAATGGCAGGGTTCACGTGCGTCCCCCGCACCATGTCGGAGCACCCCTCACACGTTTTGTGGCCCCCTCGGGCGCTCCATCGAAGGCCCCAATGGCAGGGTTCACATGCGGCCCCCCGCACTATTTTGGCACACCCCTCACACGTTTGGTGACCCCGTAAGAGGGCTCCCCCGACGGTCCCAATGGCAGGGTTCGCACGCGCCCCACACGTTTCGCGGCATCATGGGGAGCTCCACCGAAGGCCCCAGAGGCAGGGTTTGCATGCGTCCCCCCAACCATTTTAGCACCCCTCACGCGTTTCGCGGCCCCATATGAAGCTCCACCGAAGGCTCCAGTGGCAGGGTTCACAGGCGTCCCCCCGAACCATTGCGGCACACCCCTCGCGTGCTTCGTTGCCATGCAGGGAACACCTCCGTGGCCTCATAAGGGGCTCCGAAGACCCCAGTGGCAGGGTTCGCATGTGTCCCCCCGCGCCATGTCGGCACGCCCCGCACGCGTTTCGTGACCCCACAGGTCCCACCGCACCATTTCGGCACACCGCTCGCACGTTCATGGCCACACAGGGAGCTCCTCCGAAGGCCCTTGTGGCAAGGTTTGCATGTGCCCCCAAAACACATTTCGTAACACCCCTCACGCGCTTCGTGGCCCCATAGGGAGCTCGACCGAAAGCCCCAGTTGCGTCCCCCCCATAGGAAGCTCAGCCAAAGGCCCCAGTGGCAGGGTTCACATGCGTTTCCCCGCACCATCTCGGCACACCTTTCACACGTTTTGTGGCCCCAGAAGGAGCGCCACCGAGGACGACTCACACTGGTGTGTTCACAGATGCATATGGTTGGGTCTTCCGCTAGGTGTTGAGTCCTCGTATGGTAGAGACAGTCGCCGCGTCTCCTCCTCTTCCTCCTTCTCCTCATCGTCCTCCTCCTCCTCCTCCTCCTTTTCCTCGTTTTCAAGATGTGGCTCTCGCATTAGCGCCGCGCGCATTCGTCTTACACAATTCCAAGAGCTTCACGGATTGAGGGCGAGTGGTTTTCAACGTGTGGCTCTCACCCTTTCGAGCCGCGCTCATTCGTTTCAACACTTTGCAAGAGTTTCGCGGATTGAGGGCAACTTAGCGCCGCGCACATTCGTCGTACAACATCGGAAGCGTTTCACGGATTGAGGGCGAGTGGTATTCAAATTGTGGTTCTCGCCTTAGCGCCGCGCACATTCGTCTTAGACATTTGCAAGCGTTTCACGGGTTTTCATGCGCAGCGTACCAGAACTGGTATTTTGCAAGTATTTTGGCTTATGAGGGTGCACAAGTCATGTTGATTCGAGGTGTTCAAGTCCCAGGAAAGGCGTTCTGGCACGATTCCGGATCGTCAAGATGCAACAGTCAGGTTGATCCGTGGCGTTAGGATCCCGAGAACAATGATCTTCAGGGTACGAATGAACCGCTGTAAGCGCCTATGAAGAGGAAGTTAGGAGGGAGGGTTTATTCCAACATCGTTGATGCCTCTTGGGTTTGCACTGGTCCTCCTCCTCCTCCTTCTCCTCCTCCTCCTCCTCCTCCTCCTCCTCCTCCTCCTCCTCCTCCTCTCCCGTCTCTCTCCTACCATCGTTGCCTCTGCCCTCCGCATGTCAATCTGTGCGGCACACCCCTCACGCGCTTCGTGGCCCTACTGGGAGCTCCACCGAAGGCCCCTGTGGAAAAGCACTACATGCGTCTCCGCCACCCAGTACAGGGTTTCGCGGCCCATGGGGAGCTCCACCGAAGGCCTCAGTGGCAAAGTCCACATGCGCCCCCCCCACCCCACGCAGTACAATATTTCGTGACCCATAGGGAGCTCCACCGAAGGCCACGGTGGCAAGGTCTACATTCGTCCCCCCACGCTGTACGGCGGTTCGTGGCCTCATGGGGAGTTCCACCAGAGGCCCAAGTGGCAAAGTCCGCATGCGTCTCCCCCACGCAGTATAGCGTTTCGTGGCCTATAGGCATCTCCACCGAATGCCCCAGTGACAGGGTTTACATGTGTCTCCCCCCACCGAGTACAGAGCTCCACCGAAGGCCCCAATGGCAGGTCACATGCGACTGCCCCATCCAGCTCAGCGTTTCGCAGCCCATAGGGAACTCCACCGAAGACCCCAGTGGCAACATCCACCCACCCAGTACAACGTTTCTTGGCCCATAAGGGGTGGTCCCAGGGCAAAGTCCACATGCGTCCACCCCACTCAGTATAGCGTTTCATGGTCCATAGGGAGCTCCACCCACGGTCCCAGTGGCAACGTTCGCATGTGTCTCCTCCACCCAGTATAGTGTTTCGTGGCCCATAGGGAGCTCCGCCGACGGCCTCAGTAGCAAAGTCCACATGCGTCCACCCCACCCAGTACAGCGTTTCATGGTCCATAGGGAGCTCCACCCACGGTCCCAGTGGCAACGTTCGCATGTGTCTCCTCCACCCAGTATAGTGTTTCGTGGCCCATGGGGAGCTCCGCCGACGGCCTCAGTAGCAAAGTCCGTATGCGTCCCCCCCAACCCAGTACAGCGTTTCGTGGCCCACAGGGAGCTCCACCGAAGACGATACCCAGAACTGCGGTACTCACACATGCATCTGGTTGGGTCCTTCGCCAGGCTAATTGTTACCTTCCGTTTGTGTGCAGTGTTTCACACGTGGTGTTCTCGCTGCAGCGTGTGCTTCATTTTGGGATCCGCGCTGTGCTCCCGTTGTTCAGAATGGCGCTCCCGCCCCCAGCGTGAGCGATTTTCCTGGATCTCACAGGTCTCGCTTGTCTCGCAGGCACTACAGGTTCCACAGGTCCCGCAGGACCCACAAGTGTCGCAGATGCCACGGGCCCCACAGGTCTCGCAGATCTCACAGGTCCCACGGTTCACAGTTCCTGCAGGTCTCACGGGTCCCACAGGTCCCAAAGGTGTCGCAGGTTTCATAGGCGTCACAGACCACAGTGGTCCCCCAGGTCGCACAGTTCCCACAAGCCTCTTTGTTCCGACTGCGCACAACACGATGGGATTTTTTGTGGAGTTCGATGTCGGCTATGACACGCGTCCGCGGATAGAGAAACAAGTCAGCGCAACGGGAAGGGATGGGAGGGAGGGATCGGATGTTGGATATGACGCGAGCGCACCTAAGTGGTCCTTCTCTTCACTCGTCGTTCGTCACTCCTCCCTCGCTCCCCTTCCTATGTCCCTCCCCCCTCCTCCATGGTTCCCTCCTCATTCCCTTCTCTGCCCTTCCTCTGCACCCCAGCTAAGCTCTTGAAGGTAGGAACGATTCTGATGATAGTTGTTGTTTTAGTGTTTTTCCGGAACTGGCTTTCGGGCCAGCCCATACCGCACCATCACTCCACTTTTTCCTCCTCATCTTCCTCGCCTAGTGCATAGCACGACATGTGCACTGGTGGAAGCGTGTGCGACCAAACCTTAGATCACGAGCGATCCCCCTTACGTCCCCTCCTTAACCTTCCCACGCCGACTTCGTCTCTTATCATTGAGGGTTCCGGCCCACCAACGCTAGCCTTAACAGACCCAGCCCTTGGCGGTCACCAGTGCGCTTGCTCGCTCGCTCCTCCTCGTCGTCCTGCTCAATCTCCCTGCTTCTCCTTCTGTTGATCCGTTGATGATGGCATGACTGTCTGCTGACGTTGCATTCCGCTTCTCCTTCTCCTCCCCTCCGAGGCGGGGATTTATACATAACAACCGCTTGGAGGATCGATGTTCGGAGACTTCGAACGGCGGTGAATATGGATATATTCAGGCTCGGGGGGGATCCACCGCCTACTGAGTTCCCAGGACGTCGGTTCACAGGCGGTGGATATGGAAAAATCTCCGCCTCGCATCCTCCTCCCCATCCGTCTCCGCATCTCTCCTCACCTCCTCCCCCTCCTCCTTGTGCTCCTCCTTCTCTTCCTCATCCCTTTTCTGCTTCTTATTATTCTGACTGTGATTCTGTATCTAACGTTTCTTTTTTTCTCCTCCTTACTCTTCTTTGTCTTCTTCACCACCATCATCATCATCTTCTTCTTCCTCCTCCTCATCTTCCTCCGCGCCCTCTCCCGAGGCAGCTGCGCACTGGGGACTTCGCCGCGAATTTGGCGGCAGGACTGGGTACGCTCCCCCAGCCACTGTCTCGTCCCCCCCTGGGCCTTCTCCCGCCACGAGGAGGATGAGGAGGAGGAGGAGGAGGAGGAGGGAGAGAGGGAGGGAGGGAGGGACGAGGAGGAGGAGGAGGAGGCGGCGGAGGAGGAGGAGGAGGAGGATAATGAGGGGGAGGTAATGGTAATGGTAAAATGGTGCGTAGGCGGAAGGTCTGCCTCGCCGCTGCGCGGCCGGGACTTTGTTCCCCCCTCCTCTCATGGGATGGGCCAGAGCTCGAGATTCTCGGCCTTGGCTTCCTTACGAGCCCGCCGCAACTGCTTCGCCCATTCAACTGCCCAGTCGGGCGTCTCAAAACCGTGCAGGCGGGCAACCCTCCAGAGGTCTAGAACCGGGACCTCCACCCCGTAGAAGTTGGCGGGGCCCTCAGAACCCAACGACAGCCCGCAAAGAATGAGGAGGAGGAGGAGGAGGAGGAGGATGAGGAGGGGGGGATTAGAGGGTGTGGGGGATGCAGAGGAGACGACACAGGATAACGACGAACATGATGAAGATGACGATGTCGATGACGATGCCAATGATTCTGCTGATGATGATGGTGATGGTGGTTCTGCTACAGATGCTGCTTCTGGTGAAGCTGGTGATGTTGCTGCTGCTGATGACGAATTTGATGCTGCTGCTCCTGCTGATGATGCTCATGAAGGTGCTGCGGATGATGCTGATGATGCTGACGATGATTATGGTTGTTATGCTGATGATGCTGCTGATGATGTTGATAAGTATGATGGTGATGCTGATGATGATTCTGCTGCTGATACCGATGATGCTATGAAGATGCTGTACCCGTTGCTGATGATGATGATTGCGATGCGGCTCATGTTTGTGTGTGCATTATCATCATGGTAATGCTGACGATGTTGATGGTGCTGATGCTGATATTGCTCCTCATGGTGATGGCGATGTTGTTATTGCTCGGGACGGTGACGATGACGACAATGCTGCTGAAGATGATGAGGATGACACTGACGATGATAGTTATGCTGCTGATGCTTTCGATACTGCTGATGCTGATGGTGTTGATGCAGCTGCTGATGCTGACGATGATGATGAAGCGGTGTTGATGTCGACGACGACGGTGGTGATGATGGCGATGATGCTGATGACGATGCTGATCCTGACGAGGCGGATGATACTGCTGATGCTGGTGATGATGATGGTGATGCTGCTGTTGCTGATGATGATGGTAATGGTGGTGAAGATGACGATGGTGAGGATGATGCTCATGCTAATGATGATGCTGCTGATGCTGATGATGATGCTGATGCTGATGATGATGATGATGATGATGCTGCTGCTGATGCTGAAGATACCGACGGCAATTCTGATGATGTTGCTGATAATGATGATGCCGATGCCGAGAACGGTGACGATGCTGACGATGACGACGATGCTGGTTAGAAGGGTGCTGCTGCTGCTGCTGCTGCTACTGAGTATGATTGTGCTGCTGCTGCTGATGATGATGATGATGATGCACCTGATCGTGGTGGTGGTGGTGGTTGGTGATGATAATGCTGACGACCTCGATTTCCGCGATGATGGCCATGCTTTCGATGACGGTGCTGCTGATGTTGATGATGCCGATGATGCTGCTGATTCTGATAATGATGCTGATGCTGCTGCTGATGATGATGCTGCTGATGCTGACGAGGCTGATGGCAATTCTGATGATGCTGCTGATAAGGATGATGCCGCTGCCGATGACAGTGACGATGCTGACGATGTCGACGAAGCTGGTTATAAGAGTGCTGCTGCTGCTACTGATAATGATGGTGCTGCTGACGATGATGATGATGATGATGATGATGGTGATGATGATGCTGATGATGCTGATGATCTTGGTGGTGGTGGTTGGTGGTGATGAAGCTGACGACGTCGATGCCCGCGATGATGTCCATGCTTGCTGCTGCTGCTGCTGATGACGATGATGATGCCGATTATGCTGATGATGCTGATGATGATGCTGCTGATGATGCTGATGCTGATGATGATTATGATGATGGTGATGATGATGATGATGATTATGATGATGACGGTGACGACGATGATGACGATGATGATTGTGCTGATGCTGATGCTGTGCTGATGATGGTGATGCTGATGATGCTGATGATGATGCTGATGTTGATTATGGTGATGATGGTGAGGATGATGATGATGACGATGTTGACGGTGATGACGATGATGACGGCGATGAGGATGATGATTGTGCTGATGCTGATGCTGATGCTGATCAGGATGATGATGATGATGATGATGCTGATGATGCTGACGACGATGCTGCTGATGCTGATGCTGATGATGATGATGATGATGATGACGATGATGATGATGATGATGATGATGATGATGATGATGATGATGATGATGATGATGATGATGATGATGATGATGATGATGATGATGATGATGATGATGATGATGATGATGATTCGTGCCAGCTGTAGGCGAACCTGGAGCACGTGTGCGAGAACGCTGGTGGCGCAGTGCGAGGCCTGCAGGTCGCGCTGGCTAGATGAGCAAGCGCAGTCAGAAGGGAAAAACCACCGCGTGGGTGGAAAACCTTCGATTCCCTGTTCGGGAGGCTGACAGATGTGGAGCGGCTCCGGCCATGCACAGAAGTAAAACAGGAGGCCCGATGCAGGCAGTGCTGCGGGCGCCCGCCGAGGGCGCTAGATATTGAGGCTCGGAAGCCGGGCAAGGGCTGCTAAGTCCGTGGCTGCTGAAATCGACCTCCGGGAAGTTGTCTTCGTCCTTCCGGGAAGAAGCCCGCTGACTGTTTCGCGTGCCGCGCCTCATTCCGGTAAGTTTTTTGTTTTTTTGTTTTTCCGGGAGGGCCGTTTTAGCAGCCACGGTTTTAGCAGCCCTCGCCCAGCTTCCGAGAGGCGCCGGCAGGCCGCGCTGG